GCCACCACACCCCCCCATGTCCCACGCCCCCTAGTGCCTCACCACCACACCACACGCCCCACCACCACACCCCCCACACCATCGCACCCTCCACACCCTACGGCACCGCGCCCCCTAGTGCCTCACCACCACACCACAGGGCCCCCACATGCCCCACCACCACGCCCCACGGCATCGCTCTCCCCCAACCGCTCCCGGCTCCCAGAATCCCCTGCTCTCATGAGCCCCCCACCTCGTCCACAGCTCCCAAAATCCCCCACACACCACACACATGCCTCACCACCACACCACAGGGCCGCCACATGCCCTGCCGCCACGCCAGCGACGCCCCAGCACCCCGCCACTGCAGCACAGCACCCCCTAGTGCCCCGTGGCCACAGCATAGTGCCCCCTAGCGCCCCACCGCCATGGCACCCCCCACACCCCAGCACCCCCTAGTGCCCCACCGCTGCAGCACGGCATCCCCTCCCACCCCACCACAACAGCCCCTAGAGCCCCGCCGCCATGGCATAGCGCCACCCCCGCCCCACGGCACAGCGCCCCCTAGTGCCCCACTGCCGCAGCACAGCGCCCCCCGGCACCCCGCCGCCATGGCACGGCACCCCGTAGTGCCTCAGAGGGGCCAGCAGTGACCAGGAGCGTAGAGCGCCCCCTGCTGAGCCTCCCTGCCCCACCCCACCCCACCGCCTGCAGCACCTTGAGGGTCAGCAGCAGCTGCACGGCGTTGGTGAAGGGGGTGGGGGCTGGCAGCCCGAAGAAAGTCACCGTCCGGAAGAAGAGCAGGTAGGAGAAGGTCCAGCCGAGGGTCAGGTAGTGACAGGACCTGACGGCAGAGGGCAGGTTAATTGGCCACACTCCCAGAATCCCCTGCTCCCGTCACCCCCCCCCAACCTCTCCCGGCTCCCAGAATCCCCTGCTCCCGTCACCACCCCCCAAACCCCTCCCGGCTCCCAAAATCCCCTGCTCCCGTCACCCGCCCCCCAAACACCTCCCGGCTCCCAGAATCCCCTGCTCCCATCACCCGCCCCCCGAACACCTCCCGGCTCCCAGAATCCCCTGCTCCCGTCACCCCCCCACACCCCTTCTGGCTCCCAGAATCCCCTGCTCCCGTCACCCCCCCACACCCCTTCTGGCTCGCAGAATCCCCTGCTCCCGTCCCCCTTCACCCATCCCCTCCCGGCTCCCAGAATCCCCTGCTCCCGTCACCCCCTCACCCATCCCCTCCCGGCTCCAGAATCCCCTGCTCCCGTCACCCCCCTGAACCCCTCCCGATTCCCAGACTCCCCTGCTCCCATCATCCCCCCGAACCCCTCCTGATTCCCAGAATCCCCTGCTCCCGTCACCCCCCCAACCCCTCCCGGCTCCCAGAATCCCCTGCTCCGCTCTGCCCCCCCCAATCCCTCCCGGTTCCCAAAATCCCCTGCTCTCCTCTGCCCCCCACAAGTCCTCCTGGTTCCCAAAATCCCCTGCTCCCGTCACCACCCCCCAACCGCTCCTGACTCCCAGAATCCCCTGCTTCTGTCACCCCTCCACCCTCTCGCGGCTCACAGAATCTCCTGCTCCCCTCCGCTCTCCCCCTAACCGCTCCCAGCTCCCAGAATCCCCTGCTCTCATCAGCCCCCACACCTTGTCCACAGCTCCCAAACTACCCACCACACACACACTCTACCCACTAGACCTCACTCCTCTCCCAGGTGTCCTAGCTCCTTCCTTACCTTGGGGAGAGGCTGAGGATGACCCATGTGCCCAGGATGGTGACCAGGGAGTGCAAGGTGTGGATGTTGCAGGTGACCAGCGTCAGGAGCAGCCCCACAGCTGCCCCCCCAAACTGCTTCACTTGGTGTCCTGCGGGGGGAGGAGGAGGGGAGGAAAGAGACACAGATTAGATCCCAGCTCCCTTCCCACCGAGACCCCCGGGAGCAAAGTCAGCTGGGACTTCGGGCGACCCGGGCAGGGACTGGGGTATGGGGCCTCTCCCCTCTAGGAGGTGCCGGCTCCCATCCAGCCTTGGGGAGGGGGGTGTGCCTGGCTTGGGGGACAGGGAATGGGACACAAGGGAGCTCAGGAGGTGGGGATCCTGTACCCCCAAACACCCATCCCCTATCGATGGGGCCCCAGAGTCCAGGAGCTTCTACTACAAGACTGGCAGGGGGAAACTAGTGCCAGGGTCCCCTGCTCCCACGCGCCAGCCCCCCTAAAATACCTCCAGACCCATTCTAGCTCGAGACACAACCCAACCCCCCCTCCAGCTTCCCCGCCCCCCCCGAACCGGAATGGAGAGAGGAAATCTTGCAAGAGGAAGCTGAGGTGAGGAAACCCCAGACTGGGCTGGGTGGGGCACACCGGAGGGAATGGGGGGAAGGGCCCTTGTTGGAGGGAAAGGGGGGGTCTCTTTGGTGGGACTTTTTCTAGCCCCAATCCCTGTCCCCCCCCCAGCAATGGCATGAAGGGGAGGGGCCAGAGTTGCCCCCCCCCGTCAGAGTCACTCACCCCCTCTCTTGAAGACAAAGCCAATGGGGATAGAGAAAAGCAGCACGGCCAGGTAGGTCCATTCCTCCGGGGTCATCCCAGCTCTGCCGGGGGAGGAAAAACAGTGTCGGGCAGTTCCACAGATCACCCACCCCACTGGAGCGCAGCGGCTGCAGGGGGCGCTGAGGGCTCAGCTCCTCTACAGGTGGTAGGGGAAGCGCAGGGAGGGGAGATCCAGCCCCAGGGCAGGGACTGGCTGGCTCGGGGGGGCGGAGAATGGGGCACGGGGCCTCTCCCCTCTAGGGGCGCCGGCAGCAGCTGGCGTCCGTTGCTCTCATTCCACGGCCTGGGGAGTGTATCGAGTTTGCCGAGTCTCAGCCCCACTCCCAGGAGCCCCCATCGCCCAGCCCATCTGGGTGCCCCCTGGCCTCCCCACAGCCAAGTGGCTATGGGCTGGACGGGCCACAGAGACCAAGCCTTGGGGGGTGGGCGCTAAGACAGCAAAGTGGGGGGCTGTGTGTGGGGGGGGGCTCAGTGCGTGAGTGAGGTAGAATGGGGAGCGGTGGGGGCAGTGCAGCAGCGGGGTGTCCTTGGCTCTGGGGGGTGCACAGCCTCTGCCGGGCCGTTACCTACCCCCCAGTTCTCCCACTAGGGACTATCAAACTGCCCTGTCACCCCCCAGTGACCACTGCCCAGCCCCCTCCCCCCCCCCACACTCCTCCTCCACACCGAGCGGCACAGCCACATTCACTCTCCTTCCTCACCTTCCCTTCAGCCCCCCCAGCACGAACCCCTCCGCAAGTGGGGTCTAGTGGTTAGAGCAGGGGGGTGAGGGCTGGGCCCCCCGAGTTCTATCCCACATGGGCTCCCTGCTCCCTCCACCTCCAGCTAAACCCCGGGCCACTAGCTGCCTTAATCCCTTCCAGTCTCTAATCCACGCAGTTCACCCCCCACATTAGCCATTGCTGGGGAGAGAGGGGTACAGGCGCCTCCCCGTTTAATCTCCCCACACCTATTAATCCTCTCCATTAGGGGCACTCCTAGGGTCCCTCATCCCAGACCAGACCCCTCATTGCACCAGGTGCTGTACGTTATTTATTAGGTGTATTACCTTAATTCCTAGCCCCGCACCCATTGCGCCAGGCACTGTATGTTATTTTTTAGGTGTATTACCTTAATTCCTAGCCCCGCACCCATTGCGCCAGGCGCTGTACGTTATTTTTAGGTGTATTACCTTAATTCCTAGCCCCGCACCCATTGCGCCAGGCGCTGTACGTTATTTTTTAGGTGTATTACAGTAGCTCGTGCCCCACACCCATTGCGCCAGGCGCAGTACAAACAGAACAGACACACAGGTCCCACCCGCTGCAGCTCAACCCCAGATGAACAGTCCGGCCTGAGGGGCAGACGGGGGGCTTAGAAGGAGTGGGAACCCCACATCGGCTGGGGATGGGAAACACCCTGGAGTTTCTCCCCCCCTCCCCACACTTCAAGTGCAGCCCCGTAGCCCCCAAGTTCACAGCGTTACTCACCAGCACCCGGCACCAACTTCTCACGATGGGGGGGGGGAATCAGTGTAAAATTCACACCCCTGGGGGCACCTTTGCACGGATTCACACCCCCTGGGGGCACCTTTGCACGGATTCACACCCCTGCGAGCGATTCCCTCACTTTGCTGCCGGGCTACCCGCCCGCCCCCAGTTCACTTCCTCCGCGCCCTGCACCCATTGGGCCCTGCAATTTGCAACCCCCCCTCCACTCTCTACCCCTCCTCGGCTATTGGCCAATGGGGCCGTCGCTCAGCTGCGAGAACCCCGCCCCCCCTCGCCTTGCAGGAGCGGAGAGAGGGACCAGCCAGTTTGCTTTGCAAACAGCCCCCAGGCCCACCCCAGAGCTGGGTGCCGGGAGCCCAGGGGTGAAGGTGAGTGAGCTGGGGAATGGGGGGATGTAGCCCTTGGAGAAGAGATTACCCGCAGGGTTTGGTATAGGTGCGTGGCTGGCCCTTTAAGAAACTGTTTCCCAAAATCCTTTGTGTGT